TCTACAACCGGGACACAGCAGCTGCAACCTACTCCGTCCAAACAGCTAACGTCTCCGTGGGTTATATAAATAATTTGTAGCAGAGGACTTAAACTTTATTTCCAAGTAACCCTTTTGTTGGTATAACGTGTCGTTGCATTTTTGGTAATATGCTATTACTTAACATTCCATTGACTTGAATTTTATTTCTCATATTTTGTAATACTAGTGAACTCTAACATAAGTCCCCTACAGATGTCACGTCTACGCCAGAGACGGCGTAAACTGGCATATGCGAAACTAGCCCCTGTATTCGTGCTGAGATTTCGTCGGGGGATCAACCCGTTGGGGCTGATGGTACTTCCCAAGTAAGTGAAGCGGTCAACGTGCTCTACCACTTCACTTCCTGTTTCTAATCTAGGAGTCGGTGTAGTCCAATCCTGCAACATTATCTTACATTTTACAGGGGCTAATCCCATGCCAAACATGCAAACAAACATTCAGGTACAGGTTCCTGTCAGTCTTGCAATAGTACTTGACACTTAGCACGGAATACACCGTACACCAGAGTGTCAGCACGAGTTTGGCAGCCAAATAGTGACATTAGCTGTCATTTTGTTACTTGGGTTCTATGCTCACTGCATGAAGCTGGAGTTGTTTCGTTGCATTCGTTCCATTTATTGTTGATTTGGAACGCTTCTATCAACTTGTTGATTATTTTGCATTGGATATTAGAAGATTCCACATCATGATACTATAACGGTATTTTACTAGGATAGCGAAATTTTCACAGAGGGAAATGCACTTTAGCTTCACACTGATCAGGCGTTTCTTTTAACAAGTTATCACCTTCAAAACATTTACTAACCATTTTGTTTTTAATCCATTATCTTGGTTTCAATTTACTTTTATTTCAAATTTTTTGTTATACAGTTAGCCGCTTTAAAAGCTCGTGATGACGGAGAACTTGGTAAAGCAAAGGAATTATTGGAAGCGTCCAAGTGTATTGGTGAAGCGATTGTCAATATTGAAGCTGGTAAAGAAACATTCGATCCTGAAACCGACTTACCTCTACCACCATCGGAATACGAATTTTCTGGTGAAGATAAAGAGAATTCAAGTGAAGCTGTCATCGCACCGCCACCGACACCAGCGAAACAAACAGTCCCAGATATTATGAAGACGCCTATTATCTGCTCAGAAAATATTTTGGTACGTATAGCCTATTATAAAGTATGTATAACCAGAATTACTTATATTCCCAGTGGTTGTTGGTGTACTCAGTACTTTCATCCATAACCCCACTTAAGATTGACAGATTCCACTTCCCTTCTCAGGTGTTATATCCTACAGTGTTTTGTGAGGTGTATAGCAGCTATTTATATTGTTATATTGTCATTTATGTCATTGACAGAGCTAAGATACAGTTGCTTATCGGGCATTTGAAGAGATGCATGATTGTATACGGAAGTGTGATTAGATTAGAAGTGGGTAAATCACTTTTGTTACTTGTTTGCATTTATCTCATTTCGAAATTATTTCAACAGGAAATTTTTCGGTGGTTATTTATCAAAGTTTTTATTTTTTTTAATACTGTTAGTCATCATTAAGGAAAAGATGAAAGAAATAGGCGATGATCCGTCACAAGATTCAAAAAGACGTCGTTACAATCGTATTCTTAATCGATATGAAGGATTACGCGCCTGTGAAAATGGATATACTTCCTTTGAATTTGAAGAACTAGTTCCTCCTCCAGGTTATCCTCCGTTAAATGATTGTTCTAAAATATCTAAAGGTGGAAAATCCACTAGTAGTAATGAATCTAAAGCAGCTTTACCAAAGCCTAGTTCTGGACAAGTTTCAGGAAAAAGTAAATCTGAGGCTGTTGTTACACTTTCAACTAAACGTCAGGATGAATTAAAAGAAGCTGCTAAACTTGCTAAACAAGCAGGTAATATTGAATTGGCCAAAAAGTATAGACGATCATCCCTGGGAATGAATCAAATGATACAAGCTGCTGAGGCTGGTTTTCCAGTTGATTTATCCCAGTTGCCACGACCGCCTACACTTAATGAATCTGCCGCATATAAGCCAATTTTAAGCGGATCAAACTGTGATCCACCTGTGAAGTATGCAGTCGCCCTCAAAACATCTTCGGGTAGGTTTCTGTGAATAGGCCTTTTATTCAGGTTGCTGTTTCTTCATACTATGCATGTTTTTTTCCGTATGAAATGAGTAATTGTTCTGGAATGATGTGAACACCGAGTCTGATTGAATCATTATGAAATAATTTACTCCGAGTAAATTCGTCTGAGAAAAGATTGTGGCTTACACAGTGAAGTGTTCAGGAAAACCTTATTTGGATTTGCTAAACAATGTCATTATTTTAAATAATTCTGTAATACTTGTTCTTTGTCTGTACGGAAATGAGTCTCAAAATAGATATGAGAACCCCAATTGCAAAATAATTTATGACTGATGTTGGGTAGACTCTGGTCTTCTTTTCGAAATACTGTCGTGTGGCCGCATATCCTTAGCCTCTCTGATGGGTGAGTTCTGTTCACTACCTTGATGCGGTGGGCGTCACGAGTGTTCTTAGAAAACTGAAAACAAGAATGCGAGTATTTGGTGTTGATCACCAGCTCACATAGCTCAAAATCCTCCTCATTAGCACTGATGCACTAGCTCTTTATAGATTTTTGGGTCCATAAAATGCTCATTATTCTCCATAGTACTTTTTCTTTCTTCCCGTACATTTCCGCTCATCATAGTTCCTTAGAATTTTTTTCCCTGCCTTTGTGTGTGACAACTTCAACTGCTGTAATTTTGTGTACGTTGAAATCCAGTTAGCTTATGACTAGACCGATAGACATGGAGGGCCACCTTGATTCCAAACCCATGGTGTACTTGAGCTTCAGAGTACCCAAGAATTGAATAGCGTACAAACCTGATTCGGTCATCAGAAACCATGGGAACGTATCTCCTGACGCTGCATCGCCACACTGCTTTGTGAATGAGACTTCAAGTTAAAAGCTCATAGGATGGTACCTTAAAAACATTCGCCTACTTCGGTCTGGAAGTCTGGTGTATCTCAACCCTCGCACAAGTGGAAATTCTACTAGCATGTACACTTTCACAGATTACTTTTCAGTCGCATATTCTGCAATTTAATCCTTTTTCATTTCAGTTTATAATTGCATATATATACCTTTTCGTCATAATTTCATCACCTTTACGTTTTGCGGTGCTTTCACTGTCTTTATCTCTTCGCTATCATTTGAAATCTCAGCGCATGTCTCTAATATTTCAAGCTGACAGTTAGTTGCCTTCGGAATATATTGACCTCTTGTTTGATATCTAGCATGGATATTCTAAAACCTGTTTCATCCGATCTTGCCCCTTACATCTTTCACAGACTAATCCGAATCAGGCGACAGACAGGTTTAGTCAGAATCCTAAAAGAACTCACATCCAAGATCCTAGTTAATTTCTTCTGCATCTGCAAGCGTGTAACATATTTTACTATCTAGAGAGTCTAAGCCACGTAAGGAAGTGTAGACTTCCTGGTTGGGGTCCTCGGGACGGTAAAAACCAATGATTGGAAACAATTGGTGACATGGCTCAAAATCGTTCTCAGTGGCGCAGATGCATCCACTCCTTATGACTTATGATTTCCAATGAAACTGCTTTGTTCTCCGTTATCACTATTCCTTTGTCTCACATCTCTGTTTACTGACTATATTATGCATTTCTTCTACTTTTTTCTCTTGCTTTGTGTGCTACGAAGAGGGAGTGTGGCGACTTGAACTGCCGCACATATGTGCAAAGTTCTATGTCGAAAACCGATCGACTATCTAGAGACCATGTAATGTGGGCATCCGGCTTAGTGGGTGTCAGTATCACACTGCGCGTTAGAGCTGAAACTGCATGACTTACCTGGATCACTTTCTTCATATGTTATTATGTAATTGTGCATTCATACTACATGGGGATTATTAGTCACTTCACATTTTCCTGACTAAAGGAGCTAAAAAGTGCTGGTTTTAGCTGTTTGGATTACGATATCGATCCGAATAAATAGAATCAATTAGTGTACGGGATGAAGGCTAGAAGGAAAGGAGTTGTATGCCTATTTGTATTGGATACTCTTAGAGAAAATAGACTGATCACTAAACTGCCTGTTATTGACAGTTCAAATTTATCATAACTATGGTTGCTGTCTTCCAGATAGTGGACTGTGATTTTCCGTTTTTAGACAATTTTATGCTATTACCAGTTCTAACACAAGTGTGACTTATTGTCAATAGCTGTCGAAAGAAATGGAGATAGATTGGTCACATGCTGAGAAGACCTTCGAGTGACATCACACTCCAGAAAAACTGTCGAGTGGGATATGAATGGTATACGACGAGTTGGCTGTGGACCGGAGTATGACATGGAGGAGATGAAAGCTTATGGGTAGTGGTTGAGCCAGCTAAAAAAAGACCGGAGAACAGAAAGAAATGGAGCCGGGGTGTTGAATTCGTGAATCCCACTCAAAACGCAAGGGAATAATAATATTATCAAGAGTGCGAAACCGAGAATGTTTGATGAGTAATTCCAGCTTCCTATGACCAAGCATTAAAACCCTTGGATGTCTGTCATAAACCTATAAAATTTATTGGTGGATTTTTATTTTGCGGATCGTTTCAGTAATATGATATACGCTGGTGGTTCAGCGGTAGGACGCCAGCCAATCGCTCACGCAGTCAGCCGTTTAATTCCAGCTTGACGCACTCGTAAACCTCAACTGGCTTGTAACAAGCTCGGAAAGGAGGGTAGGTTGGGAGTCAGGCTAACAATCTCACCTCGTAAAAAGTAATACCATTACCACTGGGACTTGAAAGCCTGAAGCCTCACCCCCTCACTATTTTCCACTAAGTACGCAAAAGCGATACGACTAAATAAAATACAGTTTCTGTCTTATTCTTATGTATGCGTTGTTTGTATACTTTTGCTTTGAGAAATGTTTACCTCTTATGTACCATGTGAAATTTTTCCAGCTTTTCGTTATTATTATTATTTGTTTGTTAATAATATTTATCTTCTAATTCATTAGGCGATCATCTAGTTCAGGTGTATTCAGAAATTTTATCAGAACAAGAAAAGTTGGTTAATCATATGATAACTGAACATCGTCGTAATGGCGATCAGTCTATCATTTCAAAACTATCTGATCTAATGAGTGTTAATACATGCATAAAGAAACTATTATATAAGCATAGTCATCAAGTCGGTATACTAACACCTTACTTTGAATATGCTAATTTGCCAAAATCAAATATTAATGCTGAACTGGGTGATGATGTCCTCGAGGTAACTGTTCTCCGTGGCATAGCATATCCACTTCCATCGCATTATTCTCATATTGATACATATGTTGATGTGGAATTATACATCAGTACATCTAGTCCATCAATGAAATTATCCACTAATATTACTAAATCTAGTTGTGAACCTGTTTATAGTCAATCGGTTAAAGAATTCCGTGTAAATACAAAAGGTCAGATATATAAACGTTTTGTTCAAAGTAATCGTTGTTTAAAAGCAACAGTAAGTTATATTATACTGCAATTATTAATATTATTATAATTAGTTGTCATTTCATAGTGTCTATCTTTGTGTTGTGTTTCTTGTTGTCATAGACGAGCAAGTAGTCATATCTATCAATGTTCTATAATTCTAATATGCGCATAAATTCACTTTCTTCGATTGTCTGTGCTGCTACTAGGTGGTGTTTCCAAATTCAGGTGTTAGTTTCCAGGGATTTGATTAGTTTCAAATTTGATCACGAGCTGACATCAGTTAGGAGACTACTGATAACTCAGGGAATACTGGACACCCTTCGACAGTACGCATCTAGCACCTTCCGATTACGAGGCGAACCCGCTGACCATTTAGCAACTGGGATGGAATTTAATAACCTATGCATTTTAACTTCTGTCAATTCTCCTGTAGGCTCTGGGTTCGGTCCCCGTTACATGCAGCCGGGGCTGTCCCAAACTAGGACGAAACAGATGTCCAGTACTCCCTGGTTAAACTTGACATCAATTAAATCCCTACAAACTGACACCTGAATTTGGAGAACATTATCTAATAATAAACTGGCGTTTTTTTGTGTGTGAATTTAATGACACTCATTTTATACTGATAAATAATTGGTTGAATATGATATCTGTCACAAATGGGGGTGGGTGGGTGGAATGTTATTTGCGTTAATCTAGTAAGACAGCCTGATCACAATTCTCACCAGAGGTTAAGTGACGGTAAAAATGTCGGACATATTTGAGTATAATTTTCTCTCCTTTTTTTCAAACTACACTCCCAACCAAAGTCCAATGAAGTTGGTAGTACTTCAATCAGCTGTTATTCCTTTTCTTAAACAGAATTCAGCTTTGCTAGTCGGAGTGAAACTGGTAATACATTTAATGGAAATTCACTTCTTAGCTAGGAAAACACCTTGTAAACTTCATTGCACAATAAAGTATTACCGATATCGGTTGATAAAATGGTTTCGTAGTTGTGATTGATTTTCTTGACTTTTTCAAGCGTAAAATAGCACAATTCTGGCCTAGTAGTCTTTTTTTTGGAAAGCAGAATTGTTTCTTAGGTCTGTTTGCCGGTTGGCTACTTTGCTAAAAATGGCGCTCTGAACGGTTATTTCGGAGAAAGTCCGCAATTACTTTAGCGTGTTCTCAGAAGTAGAGACTAATGAAGTAATTCAATATTCCTTTTTGTCGAATTCGTAATTGTGGCTAAATGCATCAGCGACCAAGTAGGTATTTCAACAGTCATTTTAGGTAGCATAATCAAGATCTTAATGACGTAATGTGCTATCGACTGTTTAGTGTTGTATGCATTTCATGTGAGACATGGCCACTAAAAGCGGAGGAACTGAATAGCCTAGTTGCCTTTGATCATAGGTATCTGCGTTCCTTGTCGTGTGTTAGGTGGTGTGACAGGTTGAGTAATATTGAGCTTAGGCGTCGTGTATTAGGTAAAGAGGGGCAATCAATCGATGAGGTTGTGAAGCTACATCGATTGAGGTGGTTAGACATGTGTTACGCCTGCGTAGCCATCTCCTTCCTCGATTGTCATTATTTACTGAGATAGAATTGGGTTGAAAATAGTCGAATCAAAACCTGTCATCAATCTGTGATGTCCTCGACTGTTGGCTTGAGCCAACCACATGGGGAGTTGTGGACTGCCTGTTTGGCGTTTGTCGAAACGCCAAAAACCAACGGTTAGAGACTGTTAATGATATTACTCAACTGTTTTCAGTGGCGCAGATGCACTCACCCTTTATCATATTCCAGATCCACTAAGTCTTCATATTTCTCCGTGTTACTCTTCTTTCCCCTATACAATCCTGCTCATCGTAGTTCTTTTGAATTTCTTCTCTACCTTCCTTAATCACATGGAGCATGGCAATCTGAACTTCTGCATTTCAGTGAAAATTTTTACGTTGAAACCCAGCCAAGTTAGACAGTCATTACTTGTTAATTTCCACAGCTCTGTCACACGCCTGTGAGACAGCTACTCTTAACTATTGGTTTTCAGCAACTTTTCGTTCAGTCCCTGTTGTATTCATTGGTATTGTTAAATGAATTAGCACCCAACGCATCTGCTTTGCAGCTGGAGTAGCAAAATATGTGGTTACATTCAGAGTTTGAAATACTCCGTTTCAGCAGAAATATAATACTACCATGAGTTATTAGGAAAAGACACCAATTAAAATTTGTGAAATATGTATGTATATATATATATATATATATGTATATAATTAAGCTCATTGAAATAAATTTGAGTTATTCTTATTGTGTAGGCTTTAATCGGCCTCCTTTTTTGTGTACACTTATAATCAGATTGTAAGTGTTTTGTGGTCGTAGTACCGGAGAACTTAAGAAGAATTAAACTTGTTTGATTATATTTTCGGAAGAATTCAAAGTAGTAAATATCCTTTGGCAATCAAATGCTGTGAAACGACAAAGCTGTTCAAAGTGATACTTTCTCGTAACGATTTTCTTTTCGGAACACGTTGATTACACTCTTCTTCTTATTAAAATTCAATATATCTGCGTCAGCAACTGTAAGTGAATTGTTATTTTGTGTAGTGGAGCTGGAGTGAGAAAAGTTACTCATTCACTTGTGTTGAGATGGCTAGTGATCGTATGGTTTAGTACTACTTAACAATCAATTCTACTGTAGGAAAAGTTGCAGCCAATGAATTCTTTACTTGTTTGTTGATTGTTTTCACGATGTCATAACATTTAAGTTTAGGAACTCTGATGGCAAACTAGTCTGTTCACGTTTATGCATTCAACATGGCTTAACGGAAGTAGACGACAAATTGGGTTGTGACTCCAATATGGATAAGATTTTATTTTGATAAATCACACAGTGTTATATAGTGACATTTCAAGTTTGATGTTGAGAAACATGACTGATTCGTGCACTGTTGTCATCGATGGTGTAACAAATGCTCATCATTTGAAACCTGATTCACTGAGAGCGTGGTTAGCTCCATATGGAGCTATTAAACGTTTATCTATTTATGAAAAGTTAATATTTGCAGAGTTTGAAAACTCTACAGCCGCCGAAAGTGTAATTGAAAACGAAAATGGTAGTATGTTTCGAAATAATTGTGTATCAGTACGTTACCCACAACCTTGGGATATGATGGTTACCGGAGATCTTGTGTCCAAACTTGAATGTACTACTTCACAAGTGAGCGAAGAAAAAATTAACAATGAAGCAAATAATGAAACTGAATCATCAAATGAAAAGGCTTCTTCTGAAGCTGATAGTGGAAAAGAAATATTTGCACAAGTTAAGTATTTGGATAAGGATGAATTATGTAACTTGTACACTGCATTAGAAGATGTACTAAAGAAAAAAGGAAAAAAACCAAATCTCTTCCTTCAGGTCGTCCTTGGCTTGATGACGAGGCGAAAAGACTCTTTGCTATAAGAAATGAGGCATTGAAAGAGTTAGAGAAGAAGGAAAGCAAAGCAAATTTGGATAAATTTTTTCTTTGTGAAACATTATATATTAAGGCGCGGAACAGATGTCAGAAGGCCTGGATGCATAAGATAAATCAAATCAATCTTTAGATTATCTAATCTATGTTTAGATTAGATAATCTAAAATTAGATAATGAAGAAAAAATGGTTAGTTTTGATATTGTCAGTTTATACACACGTATACCAATAAATATGGCTATAGAGGCAGTCAGAAACGAACTCATTTCTGACCAAGACCTCGAACTTAGGACAAAAGTGCCACTTGAGGACATAATACTGGGAGTACAGCTATGCCTGACTTCCACAGTATTTAAATTCCAAGGGAAAATATACAAACAAACTGAGGGAGTTGCCATGGGATCACCAATATCCCCAGTGGTAGCAGATATATTCATGAATAAGTGGGAAAGCATAGCGATTGAAACGTTCACCCCCACCCCAAAAGTATGGTGGAGGTACGTAGATGACACATTCACTGTACTTAGAACACAAGATATAGATAGGTTTTTCGAACACATAAACTCGAAGGTTGAGGCAATTCAATTCACTTATGAATTGGAAAATCAGGAAGGGGAGCTCCCAATGTTAGATTGCAACGTAAAGAGGAAAGAAGATGGGATGTTAAACACTAGTGTTTACAGGAAACCCACACACTCAAACAGATATTTGGACTTCCAATCATCCCATCCTATGTCAGTAAAAGTAGGATTGGTGAAATGTTTAAATGACAGAGCACACAAATTAAGTAGTACCAAAGAAAATCTAAACCAAGAACTGATACATATAAAAGAAGCCTTGAAACTTAATAATTACCCGGATAAATTAGTCAGGAAATATGTAAGGAAATGTAAAAATAAAATAAATAATGATAATAGCGATAGTGATAATAACAATAATAATGATAATGATAATAGTGACAATAATAATAATATTGATACCGACACCAACAATAAAGAGTCTAAATCATCAGTAGTAATTCCATACAAAGAAGGAACCTCGGAAGCCTTACGCAGAATTCTAAACAACGCAGGAATAAAAACGGCATTCAAACCCACAAATTCAATTAGAAACAAGCTTTGTCGGCTAAAGGATCCTGTAGAGCCTTTAAAACAAAGCAATTTAGTTTATCTAATACCCTGCAATGATTGTCAGGTCAAATACATAGGTCAAACTAGTAGAACAGGGGCAGTCAGACTAGCTGAACATAAAAACTTAGCAAAATCTAGATTGGTTGACCCGAATAAAATAAGAAATCTAGAGAATAGTTCAGCTATAGCACTACATGCAGTCACACACAACCATACAATAGGATGGGATAGGATGACAGTTTTAAAATCTAATGTCACAGGGTATAGGGAGAGATTGATAACAGAAGCTTTGTTTATCGAATCAACTGCAAATACATGTAATAGGAATGATTCATCACCTGTCCCCGATATCTGGAAAATTCTACTCCCCCTACGACAAATAGGAGAAAACAAAGAAAGCTATAAAACTCAAGTGTCAAAGTCGTGTGATCACAATTGATATGATTATGAACAATAAATTTTGTTCGAAACGTCATCCAGTAAATAATACTGTTTCACTGTGTGATATACCTAATAAACAAACTAATATGGAATTACTTACTACCACAGTGCCCAAGTTTTACACATATATTTGTTGTGAGCAGCATTCTTGAGATAAAGTTTATTGATGTATTATTTTGAGTCAATAGTGTATTTATTCTATTTTTTTACCAGTATAATCGTAGTTTTATAATATGAAAGAAATTTGATCTTTGATACGAAAATTAGATAAGGTAATGTTAGATTGTTTTACTGCATTAAATGGGGCCGAGGTAGATTCTAGAACTTTCCATTTGCGCCATTTGCGTCACCATGGCAGACTGTACATGTAAGTTGAGTAATACATTGAAAACTGTTTGAAAACCAGTTGCTTCTTTATTTCAGATCAAGAATACTCCTTGTACAGAATGTTAGCCAGCGTTTTCAAGTGGTTGCATCGGATCGTTCATGGAATTTGATTTTGAATTTACATAAATGGTCATTTCAGTTTAGATGTTGGGTTGTTCGACCTCGACCAGGAGGTATATAGAAGAGTTATCTCAGCAGCAGAATAGCAGAATGATAAAGTATGTAAAAATGAACAGGACATTAATATTTTATGTATATATAAATGTTTATAAATGTACATCATTGTATAGTAAACACTACCTATAATCTAGTTGTTCTTTCATGTATTTTTGCGAAGTCTTAGAGTTTATTTAGTGTCATAATATTTAGTAATGAGTCTAGGCGTTATAGTGTCCTAATAGCTCATGCGTTTTAGAAATAAAAGGTGCGGTGTGATTGGCATAGTCATTTGGATGAGGCAGTTTATATAGCAAGCGTTTGAAGGTTATGATAGAGTGACAAGTCCTTATTTCTAGGGTTAAACTGTTCCAGATCTTAGAGTACATGACTATGAAGAAGTTTGCACGGAGTGCTGTTTTACAGCTTTTCCTAGATACTGTGCACGTTTGGTTACGAAGGTTGTAAGAGCCTTCCGGTGAGAACTGTATCTCCTTACTGTCTGAGAATGATATTTTATGCAAGACTTTAAAGAAGAATGTTAGGTTAATGCTCAGTCGTCTCATCCAGAGTGGGTCGATACCTAGAGTTATACACCTTGATGTGTAGTCCTTTTCGCAGTCAAATCCTAGTAGTTTAGACGTGAAGTATCGTTGGACACTTTCTATTTTAAGTTTGTCACTTACGCGAGTGCTGCTGAGAATAAATGGACAATATTCAAGTAGTGGTCTGACACAAGTTTTATATAATAATAGTTTTGCTTCGTAGCTGTGGAAATTCCTGAGTATGCATCCTAGGAGCATCCTCGATTTACGCGTCTGTGTCGCCACTTGCTCAGAAAATGTCAAGTCACTAGAGTACCTGAGTCCTAGGTCAACAACACTTTGGAGTTTAGGCAAGTCAAGAGATTCAAGTACCAGTTTAATATTTATTGAGGGTGCACCGAAACAGATCCAACCACATTTTTTAAGGTTGAATTTCAGGTTCCATGTGGAGGACCATGCAGTTACTCGATCTAGTTCTTCCTGAACAGCTTTCTGAAAGTATCCTAAGTCATCACAGTGGAATGTGTAAGCTACTTTAAGATCATCTGCGAAGATGAATGGTTTGCCAAGTGAGAAACAGCTGCATATGTCGTTGACATATAGAGTGAATAGGAGGGGGCCTAAGACGCTACCTTGAACTACTCCAGAAGTGACCGGACTAGGTTTAGAGTTTACAGAACCCAGTCTAACTACTTGGGACCTATTCTTAAGGAATGATTCAATCCATCCTAATAATGGGTTACTTATTCCTAAAGAGTTTAGCTTATTTATTAGAAGCAAATGGTCAACGCGGTCAAAGGCTTTGGATATGTCGAAGTAGATGACAAGTACTAGTTGTTGTTTGTCTCGGCTGCTAGTTATATAGTTAAAGAAGTCAAGGTGACATGTCATGCATGATCTGGATTTTAGGAATCCATGTTGGTTTGGACTTAGAATATTGCAGCTGAGCATATGTTTGAGGATATCATCTTTAACTATTCGTTCAATGATTCTAGATACTATGGGTGTAATATTGATTGGCCTATAGTTGTTGACTTCAGTTTTTGATCCGGATTTGTGTTTAGGTACTATAAATGTCGTTTTCCATTTATCTGGATAGGTTTGGCTTTCTAGGGACATTGTAAAAATCTTAAGTAATAAAACGGAAATGTCAGAACCACCGTGTTTATAAAGATACGATGGTATACCGTCAAAACCGGCACTACTAGAGCTTTTAAGAGTATTAACGGCTTGATTAATATTAGAGTAAGTGAAATGAACTGTAGTGATTTGTTTCAGCGTTGAAGATGAAGGGAGTTCTATTTTAGATTGTAAACCGAGAAGTGGACTTGTAGGCTTAAGGTAGTTAGCTGCAAACGTCTCATTAAACAGTTCACACATGTCTGCATGGTTGCTGTATAGTTTGCCCTTGTTTATAAGGAGAGAAATTTATGGCTTTGGCGATTCATTCGTTTCTTTAGTATTTCTGTGAGAGCACCTACTCTGGTGGTGCTGGCTAGTGCGGTGCATTCTTCATTTCTCATACGCAAGTTATGAGCTTGCGAGATGGAGCTAAGAGTACTAAGTATTGACCCTAGTGTACTAAAGTCGTGTCGCCTGAAGTAACTTGTTGACAGTCTTTTCAGTTTCCTACGATCCTTTGGCTTTATGAATGTCTTTCTATGTGGGGAAAACTTTAGTGTTTGAAATGGGATGACAGCATCTAAGCATGTGTTGGAGTTATAGTAAAAGATGTCTAGAGCTTTCGAGAGGCTATCAGTATAGAAGTACTCACTCTATTCTGAGGATCTTAGCATTGATTTTACTAGAGTCCAGTCTGCCTTACTGTAGTTCCTGTAAGTTATTTGTTGTGAAGTAGGGGTATGGGTTGCATTGCTACTTGACGGAAGTGGCAGTGCACACAGCACTGTTTTGTGGTCACTCCCTGAAAACTCAGAACCTACTAGGGTAGAAAGGGGACTTATATTGTGGCAGAAGATTAAGTCTAGTACGTTATTACCTCTTGTAGGGGTTGTGACAGTCTGCTTCCAGCCAAGTATATCCAGTGTGCCTAAGAACTTATCAAGTTTAGTTGGACCTGTGGGTATTTCCCAGTTGATTTCTGGTAAGTTAAAGTCTCCACATAGGATCTTATGATCGTAGTGTAGGGTGGATAATTGTTCTAGAGTATTAATAAGTTTGGTCTCGTAATTGAACCATAACGCGGTACGTCCAACGTTTGCGTTACATTTTTGCGTGATTCGTTACATAAAATTTATCTTGTTGTAATCCTTGCACAAGTCCTCTACTACTTCCATACCTATAACTATTAACTCTCATATCAAATAGTTATGGTTAAACAAAGTAAAAAGAGGCGAACTCAATCCCCTGTAAAACTGATGACTAATTTTAAGTCGTTGATTGCTACATCAAGCAACATACTTCCTACAAATGGTTATAGTGAGCCACAAAACTCACTTGTATGTCGTAAGCGTCGAGCTGAAACTGTGGATAAAACTATACTGACAGCTAGTATTAGCACTACTCCCAAAAATTCAGTACCCTCTGCTCATACAGAAACCCTCCCTACACCTTATGTGCTTATCGAAAAGCTCCAGCCTTCAAGCTCTGTTTCAGTACTATCTTCTGAAATAGAACTTCTAAAGTTGTCTATAGGAGAACTTAAGGCCGAGTTAGGGGACTTAAAAAACAATAAGTCAGTAGATCCTGGAATTTCCGATACCAATACCAAAATCTCCAATTTATCAGGTCAGATCAGTGATATCAGACTGCAGGTCTGTGAACTGACACCTTTAACTATTCTCATGAAAACTGTAGACCTTAACAAACTTGACAGTGAATCGATATCTAAGGTGGATAACCTAATTAACTTTGTTACTACAGAAGTAACAAAACGACTAGATGCTAAATTAAATGCTATTGTCTACAACGTTCCGGATAATGAGGCACTAAAAAAGGTACAGCGCATCCTACTTAGTGAGGCGAAAATGCCCAACTCCAAGACTAAGTGCTACAGGCTGAAGAAGAGTCAACATGACAAGTGTTGTCCTATTCGTTTTCAGTTCGAAACACCGGCTGAGGCCAGAAAATTTACCCACTCCCAACACACCCCATCGCAAGCCAGAAATTACAAACTAATAAAGGTTGCGGTGGACAAGACCGTCATAGAAAGGCGCGTATACAATTACCACACTGAGTCTAATTGTGGAATAAACAATAGGACATTGCAAGCAGCAATTATACCCAACCCTTTGAGAGACACCGTAGAATCCACCGCACCACCCCTCTCTAACCACACAGAATTATCTTCTCAGAGAGCGACACCAACCGAAAGGCCGCTAAATTGTAATCAAATAGCCAATAAAACTATACCACCTACCACCGTAGATTTAGACATGTCACTAAATAATCCCAGAAAAAAAGTCAAAATCCCCCGAAAGTTGACCCTGTCCTCTCCTAGCCATAAGTCCATTGGTAAAAAAGAGAAGAATATGACCCAAAATCATGCCAACAACAACAATGGCAGTATAAGTAAGCCCACATTCCCCACAGTCAGTAGTATTGGCACCCACAACGTGCGAAATAGCACCATGTCTCACACTGATAACCAACGCCAAAACAATGCCACCCTCAAGAGTACAAGTGACAATAGTCAGAACTCGACCACCAACAACTCAGGGCATTCACAGTATGGCACGCTAATAAATTTTGATCGGATATACGGTACAAGTCTGCTGGGAACTAACCCACAAAGCAGTACACACGAAATCCTTAAAAGGCCACAACTAGTACCTAACAATAGGTGGAATAATAGACCATGGTCTTCACAAGGTCCCAATCATTTTTATCCCCTGCGTCCCTGTCAGCGTTGAAAAAACAGCTGGTAGGGATGCTAACACTCCTAAACCGCTAGTGCTGGCTCCCCCTTTGCATGAATGTAGGAACAGTCTAGTGCACCCGCATCCACTAAGCACACTTGGCACATGCACAAGTTTAGGTCAAATAAACATCCCTACCCCCGTTTCAAGCTTAACTAAAAATAAAAATGCCTTAGCCTATAGCACATCCAGTACTCCAACGCTCAATTCTTCACCGAAAACAGCACACACCAACTCGATAGACATAGGTGAACATGATGCTGAAACTCCTCTTAACATAGGGCCGTCATGTCAAACAGTACTACTGGGTGCTGAACCACATTCGGGGCTGATTAACGAACTTAAGTACTTCAAATGCTATTTCAAATCTCATCTTTACCTAATCCTCATAAATGCTAGATCCGTTCTAAATAAACTACCGATGCTCAGAGCACTCACAGTAATATACAAACCCCCTATAATTATCATCACTGAATCCTGGTGTAACTCCAACATACTGGATGAAGAGATAAGCTTAGATAACTATACACACTTTCGGTGTGACAGGGAAGGTGGTAAGGGAGGGGGTTGTCTTATGTACTTTCTGAATGCACTTACTGTATCACAGCTAGAAAGTAGTACACTTAACATGCCTGAGACTTTATGGGTTAACTTACACTTAAATAACGCAATAGTATTATTGGATGCACCTACAGAGCACCTGGCACCTTTAGTAATTACGAGACCCAACTTATTAATACTCTAGAACAATTATCCACCCTACACTACGATCATAAGATCCTATGTGGAGACTTTAACTTACCAGAAATCAACTGGGAAATACCCACAGGTCCAACTAAACTTGATAAGTTCTTAGGCACACTGGATATACTTGGCTGGAAGCAGACTGTCACAACCCCTACAAGAGGTAATAACGTACTAGACTTAATCTTCTGCCACAATATAAGTCCCCTTTCTACCCTAGTAGGTTCTGAGTTTTCAGGGAGTGACCACAAAACAGTGCTGTGTGCACTGCCACTTCCGTCAAGTAGCAATGCAACCCATACCCCTACTTCACAACAAATAACTTACAGGAACTACAGTAAGGCAGACTGGACTCTAGTAAAATCAATGCTAAGATCCTCAGAATAGAGTGAGTACTTCTATACTGATAGCCTCTCGAAAGCTCTAGACATCTTTTACTATAACTCCAACACATGCTTAGATGCTGTCATCCCATTTCAAACACTAAAGTTTTCCCCACATAGAAAGACATTCATAAAGCCAAAGGATCGTAGGAAACTGAAAAGACTGTCAACAAGTTACTTCAGGCGACACGACTTTAGTACACTAGGGTCAATACTTAGTACTCTTAGCTCCATCTCGCAAGCTCATAACTTGCGTATGAGAAATGAAGAATGCACCGCACTAGCCAGCACCACCAGAGTAGGTGCTCTCACAGAAATACTAAAGAAACGAATGAATCGCCAAAGCCATAAATTTCTCTCCTTATAAACAAGGGCAAACTATACAGCAACCATGCAGACATGTGTGAACTGTTTAATGAGACGTTTGCAGCTAACTACCTTAAGCCTACAAGTCCACTTCTCGGTTTACAATCTAAAATAGAACTCCCTTCATCTTCAACGCTGAAACAAATCACTACAGTTCATTTCACTTACTCTAATATTAATCAAGCCGTTAATACTCTTAAAAGCTCTAGTAGTGCCGGTTTTGACGGTATACCATCGTATCTTTATAAACACGGTGGTTCTGACATTTCCGTTTTATTACTTAAGATTTTTACAATGTCCCTAGAAAGCCAAACCTATCCAGATAAATGGAAAACGACATTTATAGTACCTAAACACAAATCCGGATCAAAAACTGAAGTCAACAACTATAGGCCAATCAATATTACACCCATAGTATCTAGAATCATTGAACGAATAGTTAAAGATGATATCCTCAAACATATGCTCAGCTGCAATATTCTAAGTCCAAACCAACATGGATTCCTAAAATCCAGATCATGCATGACATGTCACCTTGACTTCTTTAACTATATAACTAGCAGCCGAGACAAACAACAACTAGTACTTGTCATCTACTTCGACATATCCAAAGCCTTTGACCGCGTTGACCATTTGCTTCTAATAAATAAGCTAAACTCTTTAGGAATAAGTAACCCATTATTAGGATGGATTGAATCATTCCTTAAGAATAGGTCCCAAGTAGTTAGACTGGGTTCTGTAAACTCTAAACCTAGTCCGGTCACTTCTGGAGTAGTTCAAGGTAGCGTCTTAGGCCCCCTCCTATTCACTCTATATGTCAACGACATATGCAGCTGTTTCTCACTTGGCAAACCATTCATCTTCGCAGATGATCTTAAAGTAGCTTACACATTCCACTGTGATGACTTAGGATACTTTCAGAAAGCTGTTCAGGAAGAACTAGATCGAGTAACTGCATGGTCCTCCACATGGAACCTGAAATTCAACCTTAAAAAATGTGGTTGGATCTGTTTCGGTGCACCCTCAATAAATATTAAACTGGTACTTGAATCTCTTGACTTGCCTAAACTCCAAAGTGTTGTTGACCTAGGACTCAGGTACTCTAGTGACTTGACATTTTCTGAGCAAGTGGCGACACAGACGCGTAAATCGAGGATGCTCTTAGGATGCATACTCAGGAATTTCCACAGCTACGAAGCAAAACTATTATTATATAAAACTTGTGTCAGACCACTACTTGAATATTGTCCATTTATTCTCAGCAGCACTCGCGTAAGTGACAAACTTAAAATAGAAAGTGTCCAACGATACTTCACGTCTAAACTACTAGGATTTGACTGCGAAAAGGACTACACATCAAGGTGTATAACTCTAGGTATCGACCCACTCTGGATGAGACGACTGAGCATTAACCTAACATTCTTCTTTAAAGTCTTGCATAAAATATCATTCTCAGACAGTAAGGAGATACAGTTCTCACCGGAAGGCTCTTACAACCTTCGTAACCAAACGTGCACAGTATCTAGGAAAAGCTGTAAAACAGCACTCCGTGCAAACTTCTTCATAGTCATGTACTCTAAGATCTGGAACAGTTTAACCCTAGAAATAAGGACTTGTCACTCTATCATAACCTTCAAACGCTTGCTATATAAACTGCCTCATCCAAATGACTATGCCAATCACACCGCACCTTTTATTTCTAAAACGCATGAGCTATTAGGACACTATAACGCCTAGACTCATTACTAAATATTATGACACTAAATAAACTCTAAGACTTCGCAAAAATACATGAAAGAACAACTAGATTATAGGTAGTGTTTACTATACAATGATGTACATTTATAAACATTTATATATACATAAAATATTAATGTCCTGTTCATTTTTACATACTTTATCATTCTGCTATTCTGCTGCTGAGATAACTCTTCTATATACCTCCTGGTCGAGGTCGAACAACCCAACATCTAAACTGAAATGACCATTTAAGTAAATTCAAAATCAAATCCCATGAACGATCCGATGCAACCACTTGAAAACGCTGGCTAACATTCTGTACAAGGAGTATTCTTGATCTGAAATAAAGAAGCAACTGGTTTTCAAACAGTTTTCAATGTATTACTCAACTTACATGTACAGTCTGCCATGGTGACGCAAATGGCGCAAATGGAAAGTTCTAGAATCTACCTCGGCCCCATTTAATGCAGTAAAACAATCTAACATTACCTTATCTAATTTTCGTATCAAAGATCAAATTTCTTTCATATTATAAAACTACGATTATACTGGTGAAAAAAATAGAATAAATACATTATTGACTCAAAATAATACATCAATAAACTTTATCTCAAGAATGCTGCTCACAACAAAGTTATATAGGAGAATTGACTTCAAGCTTTATTTTTCCCAGATATTTGTATCACATTCATCTGAAGTCTGGGTTTTTTGTTAATGCGAAGACAATATTTCTATATCTCTTTATGTGTTACACAGACAGACTATTTTGCAGACTGTTCTGACTGACTCTAATGTTAGATTGAACAAACAAACTGTAATTTATATAATAACTTATCCATGCCTGTACAATTGGTATGTTCCTGCATAAACAGGAATAAATATATATATCTATTACTAAAGGAGCCAGGTGCTCTGTAGGTGCATCCAATTAATGCTATTGCGTTGTTTAAGTATAAGTTAACCCATAAAGTCTCAGGCATGTTAAGTGTACTACTTTCTAGCTGTGATACAGTAAGTGCATTCAGAAAGTACATAAGACAACCCCCTCCCTTACCACCTTCCCTGTCACACCGAAAGTGTGTGTAGTTATCTAAGCTTATCTCATCATCCAGTATGTTCGAATTACACTAGGATTCAGTGATGACAATTATAGGGGGTTTGTATATTACTGTGAGTGCTCTGAGCATTGGTATTTTATTTAAAACAGATCTAGCATTTATGAGGATTAGGTAAAGATGAGATCTGAAATAGCGTTTGAAGTATTTAAGCTCGTTAATCAGCCCCGAATGTGGTTCAGCACCCAGTAGTACTGTTTGACATGACGACCCTATGTTGAGAGGAGTTTCAGCATCATGCTCACCTATGTCTATCGAATTGGTGTGTGCTGTTTTCGGTGAAGAATTAAGCGTTGGAGTACTGGATATTCTATAGGCTAAGGCACTTTTGTTTTTAGTTAAGCTAGAAACGGGGGTAGGGATGTTTATTTGACCTAAACTTGTGCATGTGCCAAGTGTGCTTAGTGGATGCGGGTGCACTAGACTGTTCCTATATTCATGCAAAGGGGGAGCCAGCACTAGCGGTTTAGGAGTGTTAGCATCCCTACCAGCTGTTTTTTCAACGCTGACAGGGACGCAGGGGATAAAAAATGATTGGGACCTTTATTATTCCACCTATTGTTAGGTACTAGTTGTGGCCTTTTAAGGATTTCGTGTGTACTGCTTTGTGGGTTAGTTCCCAGCAGACTTGTACCGTATATCCGATCAAAATTTATTAGCGTGCCATACTGTGAATGCCCTGAGTTGTTGGTGGTCGAGTTCTGACTATTGTCACTTGTACTCTTGAGGGTGGCATTGTTTTGGCGTTGGTTATCAGTGTGAGACATGGTGCTATTTCGCACGTTGTGGGTGCCAATACTACTGACCGTGGGGAATGTGGGCTTACTTATACTGCCATTGTTGTTGTTGGCATGATTTTGGGTCATATTCTTCTCTTTTTTACCAATGGACTTATGGCTAGGAGAGGACAGGGTCAACTTTCGGGGGATTTTGACTTTTTTTCTGGGATTATTTAGTGACATGTCTAAATCTACGGTGGTAGGTGGTATAGTTTTATTGGCTATTTGATTACAATTTAGCGGCCTTTCGGTTGGTGTCGCTCTCTGAGAAGATAATTCTGTGTGGTTAGAGAGGGGTGGTGCGGTGGATTCTACGGTGTCTCTCAAAGGGTTGGGTATAATTGCTGCTTGCAATGTCCTATTGTTTATTCCACAATTAGACTCAGTGTGGTAATTGTATACGCGCCTTTCTATGACGGTCTTGTCCACCGCAACCTTTATTAGTTTGTAATTTCTGGCTTGCGATGGGGTGTGTTGGGAGTGGGTAAATTTTCTGGCCTCAGCCGGTGTTTCGAACTGAAAACGAATAGGACAACACTTGTCATGTTGACTCTTCTTCAGCCTGTAGCACTTAGTCTTGGAGTTGGGCATTTTCGCCTCACTAAGTAGGATGCGCTGTACCTTTTTTAGTGCCTCATTATCCGGAACGTTGTAGACAATAGCATTTAATTTAGCATCTAGTCGTTTTGTTACTTCTGTAGTAACAAATTCAATGAGGTTATCCACCTTAGATACCGATTCACTGTCAAGTTTGTTAAGATCTACAGTTTTCATGAGGATAGTTAAAGGTGTCAGTTCACAGACCTGCAGTCTGATATCGCTGATCTGACCTGATAAATTGGATATTTCGGTATTGCTTTCAGAAATTCCAGGATTTACTGACTTATTGTTTTTTATTTCCCTTAACTCGGTCTTAAGTTCTCCTATAGTCAACTTTAGAAGTTCTATTTCAGAAGATAGTACTGAAACAGAGCTTGTAGGCTGGAGCTTTTCGATAAGCACATAAGGTGTAGGGAGGGTTTCTGTGTGAGCAGAGGGTACTGAATTTTTGGGAGTAGTGCTAATACTAGCTGCCAGTATAGTTTTATCCACAGTTTCAGCTCGACGCTTACGACATACAAGTGAGTTTTGTGGCTCACTATAACCATTTGTAGGAAGTATGTTGCTTGATGTAGCAATCAACGACTTAAAATTAGTCATCAGATTTACAGGGGATTGAGTTCGTTGCTTTTTACTTTGGTTAACCATAACTATTTGATATGAGAGTTAATAGTTATAGGTATGGAAGTAGTAGAGTACTTGTGCAAGGATTACAACAAGATAAATTTTATGTAACGAATCACTGCATTCCCCCTTTGACTAGAAATTGGCACATAACCCTTCCTCAGCGGTTCATTTTGATCGGCGTCCTTTTTAGAGCGAATTAGGGAGAAAACAATTTAAATATGACTTTATATATATAACCTTTATAAATTAGAGATAAAGAGCCAATGAGTGCACAAAAGTTGATAACTACTAAGTTGTAAGAACACAACTTCCTATAATTTAATAAACTCAAAAACTAAAACGTAAACTAACTTCGATCAGAATAAACTGATTTAAAGTTAATCTGCAGACTTTTGGAGCGTATTACACAACAAAAGCCAAAACTAAACGAGGGCGTGTAAAATTCACTCCCTTTTCAAAGTTCGTGCGGTAGCGTATTTTCGTGTGAATAACAGTCCTATTTGACAAAAGAATGGTATCAGTATTTGGGAATCACCTGTAAATGCTAAAAGAATCGCCCAAGTTATCATGTAGATGTGCTTTTCACTCTATCTGTGGTTGGACAGGAATTGTTGTAAGTTAAAAGGTTATCTCTAAGTGCATTTCATATATATTTTCACTGACTGGTGCAGTGCAACATGGTTTATGTGAATTTAATGTAGAAAAATATCTCAACTGTAGTGATATTGTGCCATTGTCTGCTTAACTGACTGATAGGCTAACAAATGTAGGAGGTTTTCGTGATTGTTGCAGGTGCAGTGCATTGGAGAAAGCAACCACTCGTTTAAATTTTCTTACTGTGTCATTTAGTGCATTAATTCAGTGTATAGTGTATTATTATACATATGGATTGTGTTGATCATGAGTCTGGCGGTACGTTCGAAATTGGTGACATTTTTGCATGGAGTGAGGCTATGTTCTATGATAAGGTGTTTTCGCGCATTGCATGGGTTATCGCGTTCACGCCTATAGAGACGTTCTAACCGCTCAGTATTGTGAAAATAGATTCTATTTGACTAGTTTTAGGCTTCTGTAGCCGAAAAATGCAATATTTTTGTGTATTGTGTTCGTAGTAATGCGTAAAATTGTCATGACAGCCTAGACGAATTACTAATAAAAAAGTCATCATTTTGAAGAAATATCGCATAAAAAGTCCATTATTAGGGTTTTAGAGCATTTAGGCATTGTTTTTTGTGAGTTGTTTCAGATCTTAAGGTTGTAAATTGACTGCAGGCAATGGCTGTTGTCATCCCAGTTATTCTATGAGAATGGTGCATTTGAAAGAGAAATAGCCTAGAGACATAAGTTAGATGTGTGTTTTGAGGATGTCAGACACTTCTTTTATCATCTGTGATGGCTGAAATATTCCATAGCACGTGGAAGAGATCATGCAATGAGTGAGACAGGCTGCTGCATTTCCTGGTGATTATAACTACTTTGATGAAGTTCCCATTTAAAATTGCTTAGGCGAAGATATGATACTACTTTAATTGACGTTTGCACTTGGAATGTCAGAAGGCTTTAATTGTTCATTGTCAAAAATGGCATCAGATTATGTGTATATCAGTGTGCATGGGGTTACGAAGAATAGTGCAGATGGTCCTCCTGAAATGTCAGACTACTTAAAATTAGTATCAATTTTCTGTCGATTAGTAGCTAGCAGGTGTGTCCTACAACTACTGCACCTGTTACATAAGTTATCCCAGTCTTAACAATCGTTCGTGTTCAGATCACTAAGATATTCTGAGATCCTTAATGAATTACTTCTGGCTATGAAGGATATGGAAGATGCACTTATGGCTCATATGTTTAAATCATTTATTATGAAAGAAGTTATCTATAGAGATTTTGTGATGTTCAGGTTACAATGCTTGAGTGTATGTAGTGACTGCATGCTTCTGTGCGTGAAGGAAAAGTTGGTTAAAATGAAGATGTGATGAAGTTTTCTGTACAGTGTTCATTGTGAATGGTTTACTAGTTAACACTTATTATTTGCTTGCTGCTATACTGTATTAGACGAACAATCTCTGTGTGACATTAAAAAATACAGAAGAATGCTGTCATCACCAAAGAATGAAAAAGGAAAATGAACCTTTTTCAGCAAAGATATGGAAATTTAAAGCGTTTAACTTTCACATTACTTCTTCCTTACTTCAGCGATTTAAAAACATACACTTTGTTCACTTATTTACAGATATCCGGTAATGTCAGTCAACTTGGTCACAGCAATTCAACATGGGCGAAATAATTACGAAAAACAATTGTGTAAAGACATTTGCTTATTTTTTTTCATTAAATAGATTTAACATCCTGCTTACAATACTTTTCTTATTCTATCTGAGTGAAACTAAGTTTTTTTGCATGAAAAGATGCAGATGTCAGACTTATCAATGATACTTGATGATTTATTTGACTGCATAATTAAACGTAAGCGGAATGTTACTACGACTGCTACAGCTCAACCTACTTATTTATTCGTTATGTGTAAACTTAATTTTACAGTATACGTTAACACCCGTTATCATAGGGACTGCTATAACGCTTTAATTTAAATATTAGTAATACACTGATTTGGAATACACCTAACCGTATACGAACTGGAACTGCAATGCAGTGCCTAAGTTCTACCTATTGTTGTCATTGTTCCATACAGACTTGCGTATGACTATGAGACGTTTTCACGTAACTGTAGACAGAGACTTAAGGGCCACTAAACTACTTATAATTCACCACGCATATCGGTCGATAGTGTTCCTACAGAATTTCACTTAAGTATAGTAACGAGTTCAAGTCCTAGGGAGCACCGGTCTAGCATGCCGTGCTCACAAAGCGAATACATGAATTGAAAGACAACAAGATTTATATGAAAAGTTCATATTTATTATAATACAACATTAGTTTGTTTACATATTAAGAAAATGGTCCATTTGTGCGATTACTTCTCCCGCTTTCGGATGCGCACAAGTTACGAGACCATGTCCATCGTTGACACTTATGCAGCACATTATTAACTACAAAAGGTGGGAGAGTAAACGAAAATAGAATTATGCACACAATATTACAGGATAAATAATGCTCTCACTCGCATTGGCTACCTGAAATAAACTAAAAAGGCTTTGTCAATTAGTATCCATCTGTCTCACGACTGTTTCAATATAATTCCGTAGAAAAAGCAACATTGAAATACATCACTGAGCAATATCCACCGATAAAATGCTACACGTATAACCTAAAGTCGAGAAAAGCCAAAGAACTCACGGGTTCCTTGACATCGCCAGCAACCGATAGGCCAAAAAACCGAGTGTATGATAAGCCAAGCCTTGTACATGCACAAATAAGTAAAAGAAAACGTTAGAATACTCAAAATTTACATTTATTTTCATCAAATATGCTTGTAAACAACGCATACCTCAAGCACACAAACCTGCAACGACATCACCTAACAAGGACAAATTAAATGTAAAATTAGCCGCCACTGTTCCAGCCAATGAAAGACGAGAAAACCTGAGGCGCGGAAAAATTAACACGTCATAGAACACACCCTCACCCTTTTGCACGTGTTTGCTCTGATATTCATTTACTGCTTATAGTCATATAATCCTTGAAATTATGGTCCAAATTTCTAAAAAACGTGTTCGTAGAAACACAGTCGTTTTAGATAGTGCCTAAACCTCGGTTATAACTGCATTACCACCCTGTAATACAGCATTAACTACTAGCTCACAAAATGGCTTGAGTGCAATTCTCACTCCTGTGATACAGATGAAAGATGTTCTATTAGAGAACTCTGAGATCTGTAAATTAGACCTCCTTGTGAAAGATATCCAAAGGCAAGTAAATGAACTTCAGGAAAAATTAGGTCAGTTTGATAGAATGTCACTGCCAATGTCAAATATCACGGAGAGCGGTTCTGATATTGGCCAGGTTAAGTCTTTACTGGATGTAACCCAAAGCAAGCTTTCGGATTTAGACCCAATAGCCTTTCTGTTAAGAAAGCATCATAAAATGTCTCCAGACACCCTAAATAAGGCTGAAAATCTGACTGACAGCTTGGCTGAGGAGGTGATGAAGCGTATAACCTCTTCTCACCAGGCTATAGTTTACAATGTCCCAGATTCTCTTCCTCTGAAGACTGTGAAACACAAAATCTTGATTTGTTGCGGCATGGCTAGTGTTCCATGTGAATGCGAAAGACTTCGTAAAAAGTCTAACCAGGCTAACTGTCCCATTATTTTTAAGTTCAGTAATTCCCTTGATTCTAGTAAGTTTACTAAATGTCAGGATCACCTAAGACTGAACAGCAGTTATAAGTCTATAACCATAGCTCAGGATAAAACACCTTGTCAGCGCAGAATAATGCGTAGTAATAACCTGGCCACCTCCTCTAGCTTAGATTTACCCAAAAACGATCGTGCACAGCAACAGTCACCTAATGCTGACATTAGCATTCAGCAAACCACACAACAACCACGCATGGCAATGGAACTAGGAACTGATTTAGATACCAGTACTCCTGTAAATAAAGTCTCACCGAAAGATGTTAAAATAGGTAGAACTGCTGCAAGCTGTTCTAAGAAATGTTTACCCAAACGTGGTGACCTCACCACAATGAACAAATTTCGCCGGGTTGAGACTAATGATGGGGAAGAATACTTTGTATTCAATAAGCTTGCTGAGAGAAAGACTGTCAAAAACCCTCACCTCTTACGAAAAGTTCCTCTGGAAACACAAGTATATCTGGTGGTTTTCAGTATGCTCCACCTTATAGAAAGTCAGGCCCCAAAACCCCCAAAGTCTTGCAACCAAAGCACCTTCCCTCTCAATTTCCTTTAAGTTATAAAACCAACACGAAGGTGTGTACCGGTATGACGAATAGCACATGGATGGGTAGACCATTTGATGCTATGCTTTTTAACCGTCAACCCAGGCCCAACCTCTACTATCCTTATATCCAGGAACACATGGTAAATTTTCCAAGTGTCCCGAATCACTGGTACGACCCATGGCACCTAGGACCACCTCACTGCACTCTAACCCCGATGTACAGACACCCAGTCCGACCCCCGTATCATTCATA